CAGAGTGGGTCATATTTAGACTGTTAGCTACTCTTCGTCAACAGGACTCGACCAGGAGGATTGGTTCCCGTAGTTCACCTTCGACAATAGGGTGTAGAGCATCCAGGCGAACGGATTCCCAGTGCGTGACAGGCGAATTTCGAGATTACAAAGCAAGTTAAGTGGTCTTCCACAAAGTTTGTTTCAAACGCTCAACTTGCCCGTTTCCTTGGGGACTAGACGGAGCAGTCCTTCTCGTCGCCACCCCTATATCATGAAGGAATTGTTGTACTTCGTTTGACCTAAATGAAGATCCCCGATCGGTGTGTATGTATGAAGGAGTACCGAAAATGGAAAAGAGTTGGCTTAATTATCTAGTAATGGTTTCGGCAGATTGATCGGAACAGGCGAATCCGAATGGAAAACGTGAATATTCATCAATAATCATCAGCAGATAACGATCGCGGGTCACAGACGGAAGTGGACTTTTTAAGTCGAGTGACATCCGTTCGAATGGTTGGGTGGTCTAATGTTAACTTTGGACATATCGTAACCAAAAAGCTTGATTCGCTGAGAAGCGATGACACCTTTTTATTCATTGAAGGTTAGTCCAGATTGTCCAACAACGTCGAGGAATTTTCGAGTGATCAACTCGTGTTCTGCGGGGTCGTTTCCACAAATGATGATATTGTCTACATAAACAAAAATATCCTTCAGGTGTTCGCGCATAATTGTGTCATCGATGGTTCGCTGGAAATACGCAACTCCGTTGGTGATCCCGAACGGGATTTGACAAGACTGATAGAAACGTCCACAGGCTTCAAAAACAGTGCATGTTCCTTCGCTTGCCCGGATAGGTATCCGCTGATGAGCGTTCTTGAGGTCAAGAGTGCTATATATGTCGTAGTTAGCAGTATTTTCAATCACTTCATCTATTCAAAGAGACGGATAGGCATCGAGTTGAATGTATTTGTTGATTGTCGGCTGTAAACAACAACCATTCGCCTTTTGTGATTTTCAGTAGCTACCACCAGGACTTGGGCTCGCCAAGGCGATGAAGAAAACTCATTTACTCCATCAGAAAAAAGATGACGAATCTCTATCCGAATAAATATTTCATCAACGTTAGTGTGTCGAAAGGATTTTGTGCGATTGGTTTACATTCCTGCGATAGAGTAGGAAACAAACAAGGAGACTCGACGCAAGTGGAAGTCACGGTGAGAACGTCGGTGTAGGTCCACCAAAGGGAGTTTCGACGCTTTTATGTAAGCGAAGAACGTCATGGTCGCGTAAGATATCGGCACACAAGTTTGGCAAGATCGATAGCCTGAACTTCTGGTAAACGACACCTTTATATTTAACCGAGAGGAATGTGTCCTTTTGTGGCGCTGGTTGGAGCGGTAGTGACCATAGCTATTTAGATGCGACAGGGGTGGATTTTCTAGTTATTTATAAATACTACTGATGCCGAGACGTAACTCTCTGAGCTACCTGTGTCTATTAAGGTTTCCAAGTTAGCCCCCTTGATCTGCAGTACAACTACTGCGCTTGAAAGACAATCCGGTGCAGTAGCCGATGCTATGACGGAAACAGTGAGGTGTGTAGAGGAAAGAATTGTTCTGTTTCGCGATGTTACGCAAAGTTTTTGGAAGTGTTCCTTTTTACTGTATCCTTTGCACAACACGTCGCGTGGGGGACACTTCGAACGAGGATGTTTGTCGTACCCGCAAAAGAAACATTTACTGTAGGACGAACTAGAAGCTGTGATGTCGTCTATTTTAGTAAGACTGTACGGAGTTTCTCACGTAATAGCGGGGGCAGGAGCGATCGTTCGTCAGCGAGGGTCAAAGAAATGCTAGCATGGCAGGGGTTGAATCCTAAGTCTGTCTGTAAAGTACCCATGGGTTATTTGGTCTTTAGTAGTTGACCAAAGGAACGATCTTAAGTTCAAGGTTACTGTCAGGTATTCGTTAATAAGAACTAGCGCCCCAATTTTCTCATAACTTCTGTGATCTAAGTGCAACTCCCTCGTTTTCTTTTTTTTCCGCACATTTTACAACTTAGCCTCTGCATGCATTACGCCATTGATTTACAAGAAAGATTACGCATGCCAGTCACAAGTTTGCTCAGTAGTTTTTGTCTGCTGGTTTTTTGCTTCCCATGAGGACTTCGTTTTGAAGGAGTACCGACCGAGACATATTCTGTTTTTTTGTCGTTAATTAGTGGCAATACGTCCGCTTTAGGTCTGAGTCATTCGGGGTTCGAACCCAGACTCTGCTAATTGCATACGAACATTGCACCACAAACTCTCTGTGTGATACTTCGTCAAGCTACTTAAATTACGGAAAATACTCATTTACATTCATAAAGCCCTCGCATCAGCATATTGAATCCTGAAATCCTCTGTGGAACATTCCTTACAAAACAGTTTCCACTGCATTTCGTCATGCCGTTGTTTTGTCTAACCCCCGAACTAAAATATTGCACCAAAGTACTAAAAATATTAGAGAATTTTTAGACTAAACTATTTTGTACAGAGTGGTTGAATAAAGTTGGTCAAAGCGTACTTTTCTTGCCAAATGCTCGAGCTCGAAGTAGCGTCCAAGTATCGGTTGCACACGGAGCACTTCAATCTTCAGGACTTTATTGTGCACAGAACCCGCAGTTGTTGTCTCAGACAGCAGTGGCTACTGGCGAAGCCGGAGCTGATGTTGACTGCGTCCAGTTGTGCCGGAGGGTGTGACTGCCTGTGTGTGTGTGCGTGTGTGTTGTGTCAGAGTGTGAAAGGTGATGATGGCAGCTGCTTTTACCTGACTATAAAGCGAGTTCAGGTAGTGTGTAGCATTGACAGAAGGAGGTGTCGCCTGTAGAGGTCCATGCTGCATGGCGGACGCGTTCAAGCGACCCTCAGAAAACCGCGACTGTTTTTGGGACGCGCCTGTGTGCGCAGGTATATCTGCAAGCGGACTGTCGGTAAGGAGTCTTAAGGTCAGCCAGTGGAAAGCAGCCCCCTGCGATGACAAAGGACGTTGATGCAGCGAGCATTGGGAGGGGGCAGCATTGTTGGCTGTCCGCCACAAAATCTCTTCTGTTTTTCCCTCCTTACCTACTGCACATGTTTTTAAAGTTGCTAATAGCACACTCAAGCTTGTTGATCGTACGAAGCGTTCCGGGCTTTGAGTCTTATTTGGACAGGCTGATTTATCACTACAGTTTGCATTTTATGGTGGCCTAGCCCGAGGCCCACCAGTACTTAAGTAGATGGCGCTGATATGAACGTTATTTGAAGAAGAATTGCACGCCTTCCTCCCAGTCCTTTCAAAGTA